GAGCCCGTGTTTACTGAAAGCCCAGGCACTTTACCTATAGGCAGTGGGGTGTAGAGGTTAAAGATGGAAACCTGGGAGTCAGACCTGGGCTGGGTTTCTGGTCTCTGCTTACTGGCCGTGGGATCTTGGGCTGCTTCCTAAGCTTTCCAAGCTTCTGATTCCTCGTCTGTAAAATGAGGTTCATGAAGAACTACTCATTAAGGTGGTTGTGAGGCCCGTGGGAGATGTCACGCAGAAAGCACCGCATACGGATTAAGCCCTGGACCAGCCCCCTCCTCCCTGGGTCTTTGTTTGGTCTGAGTGAAGACCCCTTACCTTGCATCTGCTTGGGGCCCTCCCTGAATTCAGGTGGACCACAGAGAACTATGATGTTACCCCCACCTGACTTTAGGTATCACCCCTGCTCAAACTGGACCCCCCAGAAGAATGACAGTAGCAGATGGAACCCAACTGTCCATCCCCCTTGGTTAGTGCTGGCAGGGGGCAGCTCAGACTGCAGCCCAGGCTTGTTCAGACCCGCCTTCCTCACCCCACAGGTCAGCGGCTGAGGCCTCACAGACTGTGTGACCAAACTGGCTGCCTCAGGACCTTGGCATATGATAAACATCAGGACTTCAGGGGAAAACAGACCGCATGTCTGTAAATATTTTATAGTTCGAATCATCATAGACATTCATCTATGTTTTCATTTTCTGTAGAAGAGAAAATAGAAAGCAAAAACCCATCACATTACAGAAACCTGAAAATGGCTATAAATCTATGTGGGTCTCTTGGTGCCATTATAGGCAAAACATAGAACTGCAAAGTGAGAACTTCAATAAACTCTGTGTGTGTGTGTGTGTGTGTGTGCGTGCACGCATGCGTGTACGTGCGCGCACGCGTGTGAAAATGACACCCTTCCTGATAGATCTCTTCAGTGAAGGGCCTGCTGAGTCAGCCTTACAGAAACTCAGCCACACCCTCCTCAGGTGAGAGCCCCTCCCGCTTCCTGCCCCACACCTGTCTGGTTATAGCTTGTCTGCTTCCGGCTGACCGGGAGCATCTTGGGACCTGGTCTTGTATTCCCAACATAGACCTGGGTTTCTGGCACATAGTAGGTGCTCAGTAAATACTGGACAAATGTGAGAACGAGGTCCTATGTTTTTCCTGAGTCTCCCCTCACAGCTATTGCGAGCGTGGCCTACACTTGTCAATTTCTTCTCTTTAAAAAGGAGCACCTCCTAGGTGCCAGCTCCTCATTGGACACTTTTTTCCATATACTGTTTAGTTCCCTTCTCACAAGAACCCTGTGAGGAAGGTATTCTTACCCTCAACTGGCAAAGGAGGTCCCTGAGACTCAGAGGTGGAAGAATTGACTTCGGTCACGCAGCTAACGAGACAAAGAACCAGGAGCTGGTCCTGGTCTTTGCTTAGTTACTCAGCTCTCTTATTTTTATTAACTTTGAAGTTCTTAAACCACATCAACCCCAGCTATACAGTCACTGTTTTGAGGGCAGGAACCAAGGGTGATAATTCTTTGAAACCGTCACAGTGCCAGGAATACCTGATAAAATATTGTTGATTGATCCCATAAAAGGCCTTGATAGCAGACAGCTGACCAGTCTCATGACAAGCCTTTCTCTTTGAGAACCTTCAGATCTATGAGTTGGCTCCAGGACACAGGGATGAAAGCAAGTATTATGTATGAGGACAGGATCGGGCATCAAGTCTGTAACCCTGGAAACCTGCTTTGCCAGGAGCAGTGGGCATGAGTCAAGTTCATGGTTAAGGTTCTTAATACTTTTTAACCTTCTGTACCCTGTATACACAGAGACAGGCAGTCAGCATGGATTAAAGGAGCCCCAGTTAACCCCTAACTCTCCATATTTGGTGATTACACAGAAGTGGGCTGCCAGGTACTGAAGATTAACTGGCTTGGATTATCTGCCTGGGCAGATTAGCTGGCCCACGTTGCAGCAGCTGAGGGTCCCTCGGCTGAGTGGTGCTAATTGTAGGTCAGGGCAATGGAAAGTTCTGTTTAAGGTGGAGGCTTTGAGAGAATGCCGGTCTACGTTGTGTTACGTGAGTGTATTAGTTGCTAGAGCTGCCATAGCAAGTACCACAGACTGGGTGGCTTAAACAACAGACATTTATTTTTTTGCAATTCTTGAGGCTAGAAGTCTGAGATCAAGGTGTTAGCAGGGTTGGTTTCTCCTGAGGCCTCTGTCCTTGGCTTGTCGATGGCTGTCTTCTCCCCGTGTCTTCAAATGCTCTTTCCTCTGTATGTGTCTGTGTCCTAATCTCCTCTTCTTATAAGGACACCAGTCAAGTTAGATTAAGTGTCCACCCTAACTTCATTACCTCTTTAAAGACCCTATCTTTTGATACAGTGACATCCTGAGGTTTCTGGGGGTTAGGGCTTTAGCACATGAATTTGGGGGTGGGGAGACAATTCAGCCCCCATAAGAGTGAGAGCATTGGTATGGTTACCAAAAAAGGCTCATCACTGATGGATGCCCCGCAGCCCCGCAGTTGCCGTGACATTTGGTACTGTAAAAGGAGCTGTTTCCTGTCATGGCTGGGTGGGCCATAAGACAGAGGCCTGTCGGGAAGCTTTGACTTGGGGACCCAGAATCAAAGTTATGCTCCAGGACTTAATAAGAAGGATGATTCTTATCCTCCAAATCAGGAAGCTTTGGAGAATGAGAGAGCTGTTAATAAGTACATGGGGTCAGCAGATACAGACTAGGCAGGTCCAGCAAACTGGAGTCATTGGTCTTTTTATTATTAAATCATGTTACCATACTTTTCTGCTCTCTAATCCTACACTGAGTTATGTCAGTGTATCACTTGTATTTAACACATAAGAACTTCTGAATTATTTGTTATTGATTTCAAGATGTGCTTAACCATGTTCAAATTCTTAGTGGCAAGGAACAGAATCCAACTCTGGCTGTTCTGAGCAGAATTAGAATTTTTATAAAGGATATTGGTGGCTCACAGCATCTCTGGCAGGGCCAAAGAAACAGGCTATGGTGCAGAGCCAGGAACAATGCCCCAAAGTCCTCCATAGAACGGTCCAGTGAGGGTTTCAGTGGGCGCACACAGCAGCCTGTGCTTTGATACCACACATCCTCGACGCTGGACGTGGCCTCTAATCTGGAGAATCGTGCTGGTCACTTAGCTTCCTCCCTTGCTCCTTGTATGGCGTTCTATTTTCCGCACAGCAGCCGGAGCGATCTTTAAAAACTGCCAGTCATGGATAGGAATAAAGATGCAGACATGGAGAATGGACTTGAGGACACGGGGAGGGGGAAAGGTAAGCTGGGACGAAGTGAGAGTGTAACATTGACATATATACACGACCAAATGTAAAACAGGTATCTAGTGGGAAGCAGCCGCATCACACAGGGAGATCAGCTCGGTGCTCTGTGACCACCTAGAGGGGTGGGATAGGGAGGGTGGGAGGGAGTCGCAAGAGGGAGGAGATATGGGGATATATGTATAGGTATAGCTGATTCACTTTGTTATACAGCAGAAACTAACGCACCATTGCAAAGCAATTATACTCCAATAAAGATGTTAAAAAAAACCCACTGCCAGTCATATCGCCTCTCTCCTCCTGTGGCCTCCCGTTCCGTGTGGATGTGCAGGCCCCTCCTACTGCCTGACCTTGTCCTCTGTGCTCCTTAGATACGAGCTCTTCCCACCTCAGTGCCTTTGCACTGTTGCTGTACCCTCTGCCTGGGACTCTCTGCTCCAGGGTGGCCAGTTTCTTCTTATAATTCAGGTTTCTGCTTAAATGTCATGTTCTCAGAAAAGAGGCCTTTTCTGACCAGGCAATCCACAGAAACACTTCCCTCCAAACGACTCATGATAATATCATCCTGGGTTATGGCAGCCCTTAGCCGACACATTGTCCATTTATTTGTTTACACGTTGGTGTCTGTTTCTGGGCTCTAGACTGTTTTCTGTAAGCACCCCTGCTGTCCCCTGCTCTCTCCTCAGCCGCAGACACTGTCTGAACCGGGTAAGTGCTCAGTAAATCTAGACCTCTTCTTTTGCACAAATGTTTGCTGAATAAATAAGGGAAGGGGCAGCATTCAGCAGAGAGAAAGTAGGGGGGTACTCTGTGTGTCCTGAGCAGGGATGGGGCGTTGAACACCGTCCTCTCTCTACACCACGGGAGTTAAGAATGAGTCAGCTGATTTTAAGAGCCCAGGGTGCACGTTTTTCCGCAGGAGGAAGGCTGACTGCCGACCTCACAGGGCAGGAAGAAGCGCCAACCCTCTCGCAGCCCCTCCCCGGCAGTGGCTCAGCCTGCGAACGGGGTCCCATCAGGAGGCTTTTTCTGCACAGCAATCACTCCTCATGCGCCTCTGGGCTCAGGAAAAAGACCTCTGTCTGACCCCACCTTCCGGTTCCTGGTTAATTGGTCTGCGTGAGGCCTGGGCGCCCCTACTGGTGAAAACAGCTCCTCTGGTGCTTCTCAGATGAGGCCTGGCTGGAGAAGCGGGCAGAGCTCTGGCCCGCAACTTTCCACAGACCGCAGTCCCTGGGGTGCTGGTTGGCCTGCAGACTCCCGCTCGGCCGGGTTCCACCCAGCTCTCAGGGGATGCGCTGGCTCTCCGACCTCTCTCTGAGTGGCCAGAACCTAGATCTGCTCAAAGGTATCATTTGACAGGGGAGTAGGAGGCTCCAGTTTGGCCTCAGTCCCCAACCAGCTACTTCTGGAGGGCCCAGCATTTCAAAGGTATGGGACTTGCTCAGACATTAGTGAGATTTTCGTTCTAATTTTGCTAGTGTGATGTTTGTGCGTGTGTGTGCGTTTTCCCTGATGGCCAGAACCCCCTAGTTGAGGGGTTGCAGCAGAGCGGGATCCCTGGGCACAACCCGTTCCCCGATGGTAATATATCAACACTTCCCCTCCAACCCTGACACGCAGCATTTCAGACCGCCAAACCCAGTCTGCTCAGGTGCGCCCAGTCAAGCTGTTTTCCTTTGCCGGGTTTGTATTACAGGTCTCAGACGCCTCTGCTCCTGCGTTCAGCGTCTCGGCTCTGCTGGGACCAAGTGGATACCCCGGGGGCCCTGGAGGACACCAGGTAGGTCCTTTCAGTTCTGACTGTGTCTCTGGACCAAATGGGGTCTTGTTTCCCCTCATCTCTGTGTCCTTCTGATGTTCACAGTCGCCAACCTCATTGTGTCCCAGCCATCATTATGTCCCCAGCACTTAATACCATACCTGGTGTAGTCAACCCCCAGTAAAGAACTGAAGGAATGAATGGTCTCCTACCCTCTGGTCTTCGGTTCTGACGCCAAGCACAGTTTCCTTTAACATGGTTATTTGGAGTAAGAGACAGGTTTCTGTTTTACCTGTAATGATGCTGTGTGGTACTAGTCTTTAGTCCAATAAAGGAGCACAACATGGTTCTTGGAAAAACCTCAGTGATTACAGGTTAGCCATCTGCAACAATTAAAATTTTTGGTTGAATTACCAACCATGATCTCAGTCATTGATTCTCAATCCTGGTTGTACTTCATAATCACCTGAGGAGGATTTTTAACTGTAGATGTTGAGTTCCCAAGCAAATCAACGGAAACTTAATCTCCAAGGTTTGAGCTTTGGGCATTTTTACAGGTGATTCTGCAGCCCACTGATGGCTGAGAATCACTGATGTAAATAAGAGTGAGATTGCCAAGATCTGGTGTGTTGGTTACTTTTCCTTATAGAAAAGCCTGGGAGTGGCTGGATTGCTTCTAGCAGGCTATTTGGAAACTGCCTGATGTCTTAGAACAGTGGTTCTTAAAAGGAAGTCCCAGGACCAGGAGCCTCAGCATAACCTGGAAACCTGTTATTTTTAAATTTCCCGTCCCAGCCCAGACCTACTGAAGCAAAGACTCTGGGGATGGCGCTTAGTAATCTGCAGTTTAACAAGCCCTCCAGGTGATTCTACTGCAGGCTTAAATTTGAGAACCACCGCTTTAGGGCACAGCCATGCTACCTGGGGGGAGTCTCCACCGCGGACGCCCTCTCCCCTCCACCTATACTGCGTCTTGGCTGGGTTCCTTATCAGACCCAAATCCATCCATGCCACCGATAGTAATCAAACCTCTACTACAGCTAGGTACTATTCTAGGCTCTGGCATGCAGAGGTGAGCAAGTTAGACAAGATCCCTGTCCTCCTGGAACTAACAGTCCATTGGGGAGGACGGATATTATTTCAACACTAGCCTAATTATATAATAAACGGCGAACACTGCTGTGCAGGAAAAAAAATAGCTTATGATGGGGGATTTGACCTCATTTGAGAGGACAGCCTCCTCTAAGGAAGTGACCTTTGAGCTGGGACCTTAAGATTAGTACGAGTGAGTAGGTGAGGGGTGTTTGTAGAAGAAGGGAGAGATTTAGATGTGGGAAGGGCAGGCACGAAGGCTGTGCAATGGGTGACAGCATGGCACTCAAGGTGCTGAAGGAGGCCAGTGAGGTGGGAATAGGGGTACTGGACAGATGGGCAGGAGGTCAGGGAGCTGCTATAGTAGTGGCTATAGTGGTCAGAGAGTGTGTGTGTACACACATATTTATATATATACACATGTAGCCCCTATTTGTCGTAGATATATATAGTAGTATATATAGTGGCTATAGTATATACATATATATATAAAATAATGTGTGTATATATTGTATATACATATATCAAATGCATATTATAATATATATATAGCAGTATATACAGTGGCTATAGTATGGCCATTCGGTCTCTGTGGTTACCTTCTTCTCCGTTCACAGCCCCTCATTATGCCAGAGACGTGATTTTGCATCACTGCTAATTCCCCAGCCTTGGCACTTTTTATCCACCAAGTTCACCTTATGTTGCAGTAATGACAGCCCCCAGGAAAAGCCCAGGCTGGATTAGTGCAGGGGACTGTTATTTTAGCACCCTGGGGATTCACAACTGGGATTCACAGCTGTGAAAAGCTGGTTCAGCCCCACTCCCTTTCTTTAAATCAGCAATGACCTAAACAAACTAACTCCACCGCCCAGGAAATTTAGCTGGAGTCAGTGCACTGAAAACTCAAAGGCACGGGATAAGAATGAAAAGTTTGTGGTTCTCAAAAGCTACAGTGGAAAGCCAGAATTTATTGATATGTCTGCATAGCCCTCTAGAGCTCAAATTTCTCACAGAAATTGCTGTTCAAAATTGTTTAAATGCAAATGCTATAGTATTCCAGTCTCCCTAGAGAATTTCACTTTCTCCTGAGACTAAGTTTGTGGATCTCTTCCTCATCTAATGTTTTTGAATCAAACTTCAAGGCTTTGTGTTTTTTGAGCTCCTAAGACGAGTAATATACAATGTGAAATTCCTAAGGAATCCCTCAAGGAAATCAGAGTGGCAAAGGTCACACATTCCCAGCAGCCCATGAAAGGCGCTCACAGACGCAGCTGAATGTAATATGATGTGAGCATGAGGGAGGGAGGGTAATAATTCTGATATGTGTGTGTGTATGGGAGGGTAATAAAGAAGCATCACTTCCTTCTGGAGAGAATAAGGACCTGGTCTTCTCAGGCTTTATTTCTTCCATTGATTTGAGTTGCCCTTTGCACCAAGAGGTTGTAGAAAGCAGGAGAGGAGAGCACCCCAAAAGGGAACATTTGGCCTCTGTACTTGAGATAAATGGTACTTGTTTTACAAGGAGAACAAAATCTAGCAAAGCAAAGCTGCAGAAAGATGCAAAGACAAAAAGGACTGGGGACAAGATAAGGCAGGGATTGCCTGTGTTTGGGTTGGTTTGAGAGGGCTTCTCTGCAGAGAATCGCGACGTGGTTAAAGACAAATTGATGGAATAACACATTGACCAACAGGGTGAACTGGCAAAAATGAATATCACCCCAATTTTTTCACATATTGATAACTTTATTTTGCCAGAGAGGCAGTTCAGCAGTATTTTGTATGTTAGTAAGCATTTCTGCTCATATTCTAGCATATTGAATGGTTTTAATGGTTTGGGATTTTATTGCTTTTATATTTTATTTCCAATTTACTTTCAGGTGTTTGCGACTCTTTTACTTGCTAATCAGTGTGTTCATGAATTCTTAAAATTTTACCTTTGGCTGTTAGCAAATTCTCCATCTGGAAAAAATGGTTCAAAACCAATCTTTCTAATTACCTGCTCAGGTTTTTTTCTGACATCTCCTGAATGCATGTAAAAGCAATTTTGTCCATTTTCTAAGTTATTATTTTAAATTATTAATTCACTTTCAATTAATGGGGTGACAGCTGTCCCAGTTTGCCTGGGACTGAGGGGTTTCCGGGGATATGGAGCTTGCAGTGCTAAAACTGAGAGTGCCCAGGACAAAATGAGATGGTAGTCATCCTAGGTAGCAGTGCCTACTGGGCAGAGATAGCCAGCTCTCACCCAAACGCTCACATTTCTCTTTCATAGTGTCACATTTTTGTCCAGCCAGGGACACACTTCCCAGCCTCCTTTGCATCCAGGTGTGGCCACGTGAGTGGTTCTCATCCATGGCTCTAATGTTAGCAAAAGTGATACAGAAGCAGGTGTTTCTCTACCTGCTTCTCCATATTACCTGGATGTTGACACCCAAGTCAACCTTGGAAATGCCGTGCACTGACAATGGAAGAGCCACTGTGGATCTGGTTAGTGGTTGACTGCCTGTTGCCAAGGCCCCCTCACCATCCTCCTTGCCACCACTGCCGTGGGGCAAGCAGGATACAAGCTTCTATTGGGTGTCAAAAGTGAGGGGTCAATCTTCCAGCAGTTGGTGCTATCATAATTAATATAGCTGTCCAACCTTTTAAGCTACTTTTTGACCTTTTTTTTTTTTTTTTTTTGTGGTATGCGGGCCTCTCACTGTGTGGCCTCTCCCATTGCGGAGCACAGGCTCTGGACACACAGGCTCAGCGGCCATGGCTCACGGGCCCAGCCGCTCCGCGGCATGTGGGATCTTCCCGGACCGGGGCACGAACCCGTGTCCCCTGCATCGGCAGGCGGACTCCCAACCACTGCGCCACCAGGGAAGCCCCTCAGTTTGGACTTTGCCAGAGAATTCTTAGAACAAGAGGGATGGGCATATCAGTGAGGGAAAGGCCCACTGGCAGATTTCTTGTCTGAGAGGGGCTGGGGTGAAGGAAGGATATGAGATTACTGCAGGTAACAGTCCTCATTCCATTCAACCTACAACAAAATGCATCCCTTACCGAGGCTCGTGAAAACTGCATCTTGGCTCCAAATCTAGAATTTCTCTAGAAAGCTAAGCAGGGCTGGCCGCTCTGTAAAAATACTGAGGGCATCAGCAGCCACTTTACTCACCAGAATTCCCCTTAGATTTTTAAAAATCTGGGAATAATAGTGCTTACCTTTATGAGTTAAACGAGACAACGTATTTGAAAATACCTGACGCTTGGTAGGTGCCCTGTAAATCTTCTTTTCCTTCTTTCTTCGCAAAAAGAAAAGCGGCCCTTTCTTCTCGTCTTACAAACACGATTCAAATGTTCTAGGGTGGTGTATCCATCAGAGTCCTTGAGAAGCGGATGCGAAGATGAAATTCGATGTGCAGGAGAGTCACTGGGGGGAGAAACCTTGAAGAATAAAGAGAGGGAGAATGGGAGAGGGGAGAACCGTTGATCGGAGATGCTGGTCTGACACCTTGGAGGGGAGGAAGTGTTGGTAGAAGGAGCTGGAGAATTTGGTCCAGCTTTGAGAAGCTCTCAGCCAGCCAATAGGGAGCCCAAGCAAAGACTGCCCCCTAGAGGATCCTGCTGTGGGAGGAGTGGCCTGGCACTCCCACTGGGCCCAGGCATCATCCTGACAGCCAGCTACATCCCCTGCAGCAGCTCCTCTTGGCAAGAAAGAATTGAATGGTGCATTCTCACAATTGCTAGGTATAGGGAGATTTTCCCCAACAAACAAAAACCTCTATTGAGGGTTTCGCATAGATTTCAGGTTAGAGTTATAACTAAAGCTTCAATAGCTGAACAGAACAAACTGGTAAAAAGTTCTGCTAAGAAATCTTGGATTTTGTGAAATAGCCAGGAGGTGGAAAAAGCCTCCTGTGTAACGCAATTCAAAGTGGCACAGC